AAGAGGGTCTTGTGAGTCGCGCGCGAGCAACGTGAGGTAGTGGAGCGTTGTCTTGCGGTGGCAGTAGTATGACTTGCCTGCTTCTTTACCCGCTAAATGGCCTTTTCTCATCAATTTCTTCTCTCATGTTGTTTAGTTGTCGGCTGTAGTGTTCCACAGTCACCGTCTGACGACCGGCTCCCAGGAGTTCGCAATAAAGTACACTCTTCATGCCCCATCTCGCAACCAGATATACAGGAGAACCTTCTTTAAGTGGATGTTCTGTTTTTATACCATCCAGTAGAACTTGTGATCGCACATTCTTAAACCTTCGAGGTTGATTTCCGACAACAGCGACACGTCTCACTAGACACGCGTCGGCACCAAGAACACTACAAGTTGATTCGCCCCGTGCTTAAGAAGCATTGTTTCCTTGTTGATGGAATTCGTATGAAATGCAGTGCCATCGAATGTGCTGTTTATTAGTTGTCATCGTAACCTCCGCCATTCTGAGAGATTATGTAACTCAGGTAGGCCTGTCCGCCGATGTCTGCGAAACCCCTTGCTTGCGACTCTCCCAAAACCGCAAGAGACCGCGGGAATATGTCTACTTTAACCCGTCTAAATTGCTCTTTAAGGAGGTGCAGCCAATCCCGAATGGCGCCACTGGACACGCGATCGACGAGGGTGGTGAGAAGGAGCACCATGAGATGGCCGCCGCCGCCACAGCCGCCACCACCTCCACCGAATCGGCGATGCAGCGCTGCTCGGTGTCACACTGCCGCCGGTGGTTCCACACGGCCACGTGCCTGCGCCAGTTGCCCTTCGCGGCGCTGGTGCGCGACGGTCGCGCGGACAGCTTCACGTGCCCCGCGCACAGCTGTCTGGCCTGCTTCGCCGACGCCCCCGGCACGCGGCCCCGACCCTCGCCCTTCTTCGTCCACTGCTTCTTCTGCGCGGCCACCTACCACCCTGGCGAGTGGTGCGTTCCTGCTGGCTCTGTCTGGGTACGTCCTCGTCCCCTCTCCCCGCCCCAATCCCATCTACTCACCACCGCTCTGCCACTGGTTCACTTTGTAGTGGGTGTCCTCAGTAGTGAGAGTGTCTTCGAGGTCGAAATTGTTGTGCAACACGAAAACACTGATTACTTGTGCCTTTGAGTCATCGCCTAGCGCAAAAGTAGTGCGGCAACTGAGGCCGTTAGCTGTGTGACCAAACAACGTCGTTACCTACCCCTGCCATTATATTGTCATTGCTACTAATACTTAATAAGTAGGCGTGTATGTTAAGAAGACAAATCAGCAGTTTCTTCTACCCGCTCTCGAGGGACTGTTCCACGTTTCCGAAGATAACCTGGCCTGCAGGGCAAATACTCCCCTACAATGAAACCTGACAATCTGCAGTTTCAGGAGGACTTCTCGTTAGCTTGTTGCGACATTTTGACAACTATAAAATCGACTTATGTCTCCTTTTTCCCCTCCAGTTATCCCAAAGCTGGATCGTCTGTCCGCGGCACGCCCTCCAAGGTCCACCGCAGAGTCTCCTGAACTTCCCCCCACGCTCCAATCAAACCCCGACCTTGATTTCGACCACTCCCCTCAACGAGCCTCTCTCTGTGGATGTTGGTGACAGGATCGTGTTTTCTCCCGTCCTGTTGGAAGAAAAATCTGCCAATTCATCTCCGCGGAAATCAGATTCCGACCATCTAGAAGTCGTTGGACCGTCTTCTATCAAAGAAGAAGAGGAGGAAGAAGGTACCAAGCCTCCCCCTGCGACGGACCAAAATTTGGTGAAGGAGCCCGATTCGCAGCCCACAGAACCTCCCGCCACGATAGATCAGAAGCCTGTCGACGAGCCCAACGCCAAGTCTCCCTTGAAGACGGAACCGGTTGACGCTCCCGTGCCGTGCCCAATGTCTACAACGCCTCCTGGTGAAGCGTCGTCTGCGCCGAAGGCGGACGACACCTTGACGATCTCGGACGCAGCCGCCAAGCCTCCGTCTCTCATGGAACAGCTCTCGCTGAATAGGATCCTCCTCTCGGACCGTCAGCGAATCAGCCTCGCCAACATGTTTCGTCCCGCCAACGTCTCCTGGTGCTTCATTTGCTCCAAAGGCGGTCGCATCATCTGCTGCGAGAGCTGTCCCGCGTCGTTCCATCAGGAGTGCCTCAACGTCAGCGAGGTGAGTCGGCCTTCTCGTCGTCTACTGCCTACAACCTGACCTCCTGTGACACGTTTGGCTTTGTGCGGTTGCCTACCCGCCCTGTTCCCATGTTTGTTTTAAACTGACCAAGCGGCAGAATTTCCCTCGGCGTTTTTGTGTTCACTTCGCGAAAAAAAAGTGGGCGAAGATAACAGCAAAATGTGGGCCGGGCTTTTGCGTGGTTTTTGTCCTCAGCCTGCCTTCGCATCTGCACGGCGCGCGTCCAATCGTGTTGGGTGCTTTTTTTCCCCTAGGCGAATGAAGCGGACAACGTGAGCACAGCCCGCGGTGTAGCCCAATTTAAGTTAATCCGATGCGAAATCCGCCAACTGTCATTGCGTCTGCACCTATCTGCTGAACTGCACCACCGTCTAAACGCAATCTCATTCGTTTGCCGGTGAGGCCCATGGCAACGCATTGAAAGTGCGGTGTCTAGGCGATGTTCTTTTTATTTTCTTTCCAAACTTTCGGCTGATTTCACAGCTCTCAGGAGTCCGAGGTTGACTTGTCCTGCCTTGACGTACTCATAGTTAACTCCTAGTTATCGTCAGTAGGCCGTATTTGTGGTAATCTGGCAAATATTAACGCAACTCCTTACTCAAATTTGCCCGGGGCCATGTCGATGTCGGTCGTTTGAGCATCGAGGATTGCCTTTTTTTGTTTGCTGGGCTGATTTGCCGTTTGCGGAGCTGCGAAACAAAAAAAGAGAACGCGTGGGCACACGCACCCTGGTGGTGGGCTCGTTTTTGTGTGTGTGTCTCGTTCTCACGTGCAACGCAATTTCCTACCTGCGCCTTCCCCCGCCCCACCCCGCTCCCCCCCGGTCGCCATTTTGACCCACCCTGGCGGCATCTCTCATTGTGCAATGACCACCGCTCCGCCACCGTCTCATGTTAGCGCGCGCGGACGCGGGTGCGTGCACGTCTCCTGCCTCGATTTTCTGTGTGTCTAGACTTTCAGCCCCGCCCTGCCTGTTGTGATAGCGATCTCCTCATCCGCCGCCGCCGCCGTAACCACCGCCTCCTCCCTCCGCGTGCACTTGCGTGTTTCCCTTTTTGCTGCTGCGCCTCCTTTGTCGGAAGTTCGGTCGGTACAGGCCAATGCACCCCTCCTCACCCGCCCCGGATATGTTTTGTGTGGGGCTCGAGGGGTGGTGGGTGGGTAGTAGCGTTTTGCGTCGTGCACACACACGCACCCACAAACGGGCTGCGGATTTGCGCTTTGTTGGAGGCAGCAGTTGGTCATTTCCCTCCTCCTCCTCCTCCTCCTCCTCCTCCTCCTCCTCCTCCTCCTC